TTGTTTTGTAGCTCATCTGAAACCTGTTCACCATGGGTGAACCTGCTGGTTATTTAAAACACCAGTGGCATAGCCCTCAGAATCACAGCAACTCAAACCACCACAGCACGACAGACGGACGGGTGGGGTGTGGGATAGGAAAAAAAATTAAGTGACTAGAGGTAAATACTGGCAATTGATGGGACATGGAAGGAATTGCAACCACTGAAAGACACCAAGTGTGTAATTTGTTGAATGTGGGACTAATGATCTATTCCGTAAAGCTTAACTCAATTTATAATAAAAAGCTAAAGAAAACAAAACCACTTGAGTGTCCCAAACAGAAACTCAGTACTCCTAAAGCAATACCTTCCACTCCGCCACTGCCCATGGTAATAAACTTCAGTTTCTATGCATCTGCCTGTTCTGGATATTTCATCTAAGTGGGTCCATGTGTCTGATTTATTTCAATGAGCGTAATGTTTTAAAGGTTCATCCATGTCACAGCATGTATCAGAACTTCATTTCTCTTTATGTTTAAATAACATCCCATTGTATGGATATACCACATTTTATTTTTCCATTCATCTGCTGATACAGATGCTTGGGGTGTTCCTACCTTTTGGCTATTGTAAATAATGAGGAAATGAACACTAGTGTACAAGTATCTGAGTCCGTTTTCAAGTCTCTTGGGCATACACCTGTAAGCAGAATTGCTGGATTATATGGTAACTAACTTTTTATCACAGTAACTGTTCCAAACTGTTTTCTACAGTAACTACACTATTTTATATCCCCACCAGCAATGGCTAAGGGTTCCAATTTCTACACATTCTAACACTTCTTGTTTTCTATTTTTTTGTTTTGTTTTCTGTTTCATAATAGCATCCTAACGGGTGTAAAGCTCTCATTATGGTTTTAATTTCCTGATGTGGCACTGTGGGATAAAGCACTGGACTGCGAAGTCAGTTTGAACCACAAGGTCAGCAGTTCAAACTTACCATTTGCTCCTTGGAAACAGGGCTGCTATGAGTTGGAACCAACTCGATGACACTTAACAACAACAATAGGACTAATGATTTGAGCATATATTCATGTACTTATTTGCCACTTAGACACCATCTTTGGAGAACTGAAAATCTATTTGTATAGAAACCCACTGTTCTTAATATATCTGGTTTATGGGAGTATGTATCTCAATATCTCATTAGAAAAATGTAGTCAGTAAATACATAGGGCCTAAGGAAAGGCAAAGGAAGACCACACAACTATAATATATTATAACTGGATCATAGCTATAACCTGGAAGAAAAGCCTTAGGAAATACATCTAGTCTAGTTTAATGGTCTCGCAAGAGTTTTTGACTAAGTAAGCATCCCTTTGAGTAAAATATTTTTAAGCCTATACCCCCAAATATAATCTCTGTGTTTATAGATGCAGATACATACATATACCGGTATATACTGTGTATATGATTACAAAATATATGCACATTTTTTAACTAAAAGGATAGAAAAATTAACTTTCTGAAAAATGTTTTACATTTTACTTTTAATGATATAAAACCTTTTTGTTCTTATTAAAACAGTATTTTTTTAGTGAAAGCAATGGTCCAGCTAAGATGTAAACTCCTAATTGTAAAACCAGTGGTCTAAATTAATAAATTACGAGAAAGAAAGCAATTAGAGAACACAAATTGCTATTAAGGTATAAACCAGACAAAGAATAAGTTCTCATGACCAATTTAAATGTTATTTGCTCATTTGACCCTTGTTAGTATAATCAGTTATAATCTCTGTATGACCTTGGGCAAGCCACTTATTTGAACCTAAGTTTCCCAATATGTAAAATGAGGGACTCAGACAAGATGAATTTTAAGTGTTTTTCAGTGTTAAAATTCTAGGACTCAACATTGTTTAAGCAGGAAACACTGAGTTTTGGGATATGGAAATGGAAAATCTGGCAACAGATATTGGTAATGGTTGCACATGATTAATGTAACTGATGTCACAAACTTGGAAAATGTGTTAAACATTTTTTTTTACAACAATTAACAAAAAAATTCTAGGACTCCAATATAAGAGCAAACAAGACAAATATTTTTAAAACAGAGTAGCCAGACCTTTGCTTATCTCCACATTAGGCAGGTTGAAGATGTCAAGGTCCATTGTCCCTCCTTTAGTCCCTTCCGAGAGGTCTAAGAGAACCAGGTTGTCTGCAATGCCCTGTGTGGTACAATAAGAAGAACAGCACTGCATTGAGTGTGGCCAGTTACTCAATTTAAACTCACTCAGGGTTAAAGGAATATACATGGGTCACATGTACTGAATTAAGAAGGAAAAGCAACACAATAACAATAAATATGACATGCAAGCAAGAAGTTATACTATAATGTGACTCTTTAGGCTGACTGCTGAAAACAGATTTCACAGAGCATAACTCGGTCACACATGGCAGATTGCAGATTTCTTTTGGTGGCGTAGTGAGTAATAAAGATAATTTTGTACACTCAATGTGTTTGTTACTGTTCTTAAGTTTATGTTTTATTTTGAAGTCATAATTTCAAAAGTCCTAAATCAGCTTAGGGTGATTTTTTTTAGGTCCATTTTAACAGCTCATTTCTAGCATTAAAGCCAACATTAATGCCAGGTTTCTCTTTACAAAAAAAAAAAAAAGACTAGCTCTTTGCTGCATCTAATGAAGACCAAGTTCACCAACCAGACTGTTGACCCAGAAAATGTCAACATTAGCCTGAAGAGACACAGTTATTGTGAAGGGGCTCAGAGGAACCCTGTAGTGGGTCTTCAAGCACATCATTGTAGAACTTAGTCTCCTTGGGGACAAAAAAAAAAGAAGAGGGGTCAAGTTGACAAAAGGTGGAAAATAGAAAGGAACTGATTATAGTTTGTAGGATCTTCCATCAGACACAGAACATGATCAAGGATGTTACATTGGGTTTCCATTATGAGATGAAGTCTGTGTAAGTGCGCTTCCCCATCAGAATCATTAGTCAGGAGAGTGGATCTCTTGTTAAAATCCAAACTGCCTTGGGTAAAAAATATATCTATAGGCTTTGAAGAGGCCAGGTGTTGATTATTCAGTATCCTAAGCCCAGAAAGATGAGTTAATTCTTAAATGAAACTACATTGAACTTGTATCAAATTCAGCTGTTTTAATTCAGCAAGCCAAGATGGTTTAAAACAAGAATACCAGAAGATTTGTGGATAGTATCTGTCCCTGAAAAAGGAACACTTTAACAGACTGATGAACAAGAACTAAGAAGTGTTCAGAAACAGAAAAGAGGTCAAATGATTCCTCAGTGCTGCTAGTGGCAATCAAGATGAAATATAATTCAGCTACTAATTCTGGGGGAGGGGGAATATAAAAATAAAGATTAATAGGAAAAATTTCAAGTCAGATCTTATTGTAATGAATGAGGCACTCCACCCAGAGATGTCACAGAAAATATTCCATACACCTGTGGGTGGTCCCTGGGTGGCATGGTGGGTTAGCTGCAAATAACAGCATAAAAAATTGTAAGTCATTTTATCTTGTGGAAGGTCCAAAGTTATAGGGACCTGAAGATCTCTCCTATGTTATAGTGCAGGGGCAAAAGTATCCAGGGATCTACTATACTATCAAGGTGCTCTGGGTAGCGTAGTGGTTACAAATCGGGCTGCGAACCGCAAAGTCAGCAGTTCAAAACTACCAGCTGTTCCGTGGGAGAAAGATGAGGCTTTCTGCTCCGGTAATGATTTACAGCCTTGGAAACTCTGTTGTCGTTGTTGTTAAGTGCCATCGAGTCGGTTCCGACCCATAGCGACCCTGTACAGGGTTTCCGAGGGTATAAATCCTTACGGGAGTAGAAAGCCTCATCTTTCTCCCACGGAGCGGCTG